AAATAAGAGCTTGAGCAGTAGGTTGAAAAGCAGGAAACTGCCATTCATTAACGTCTCTCTAACCTTCTGAGCTAGTTTATAAATATCAGTGAATTTACTTTGGTAGGATATGCTGGATTTATTTAAAGACATGATTGTTGGCTCCAAACTTTTTTTTCCCTTTTTTAAAATAAGTCTACAAAAGGTTAAAGTTATAGAGTAAATTAATAGCAAGTGACCTCACAGTGTATTATCAGTGTATTACTGATTTTGAAATAAAACTTGAGATTAAAACAATTTATCTAATGACATCTACATTTCTGGATGAGTTTTGATTGATTTATTTTTTCCCATTATGAGTTGTATTTTTTTATTTCTTTGCATGCCTGATTTTTTTTTTTTTAATTGAATGCCAAACACTGCATTTCACCATGTTGGGTGTTGAGTATTTTTATATTCCTTAAAATATTTTGAACATAGCTTTAGGATTTAGTGCAGTTACTCGGAAATGGGTTGATTCTTTTGGGTCTTGTTTTTAAAATCACTTAAGTGGGGCCAAAGCAGCATTTATTCTAGCTTTAATTTTTCCCCATGTACATGGTTAGGCCCGTCTTAGTAATCTAGCTGATGTCCTGTGAATTACAGGCTTTTCTTCCTCGCTGTCACCTCCAATGTGAGTTGCAGGTACTGGTCTCTCTGACCTTTGTGGGTGACCCTTTACTCGGTCTCACGAAGTGGTCATTACCGAGTTAAATTGTAAGGCTTTTTGCAGGTATCTTCAGTTACTTCTGTGGAGCTCTGTCCTCCCAGTGCTCTGGTCTGTAACCACGAGTCACCTTCATTTCACCACATCTCAGGCATATCCCAGCTTAGGAAGGTTGCTGGAGTCTGCTTCCACCTCCATGCACAGCCCATCATTTTGACTCATTTTTTGTGTTTCAGAGAGTAAGAGAACGATAGCCTGTTACTCCACCATGATTAGAAGTAGGAGCGGCTGAATAGGTCTGTGTAGCTTTATGTAGCACGAGCAGCATACGTGTCCGAGGGAAGGTTGGCTTAGCCAGTGAGTGATGTGACTCTTTGTATATACCATTCGGGAAATTAGTGTACGTGCTCCTGTCGTACCAGATACTACTGTTAATCCAAGGCATTTCATGTGTATGTAAAAAAAGGATTATGGTAAGTACAGCACGAACGGACCCATGCAGGGACATACTCTTCAGTATTCAGTCCCGGAGAGTAAAGTTAAATGGGGAGTCTCACACACCACTGATGGCCATGTATATTGTTCCAGACTTTGTTTTTGTGTTTTTTTAATTGAACAACTCTTTTTATGTTTAATTTAAAAAAATAGAAAATCATGGTGAGTGCTGTGAAGTTTGTAAACGTGGAGATTCACAGACCTGTACCCCTGGGGGAAAAAATATATATATATATATGTTTATAAAAAATAAAATTATAAAAAAAAAAAGAATATAAATAAAAGAACTACTCATTGTAAAAAAAAAAAATAGAAAATCTAAATTGCAATACTTTAAACCTTGTATGATTTTTACTCTGGGATGCTATTTTATGGAAAATTAGTAAAAGATGTTTCTGTTATTCTCTCTATATATTATTTAGCGAGAATTTAGGAATAAATTTTTACTGATAAGGAAATAATGCGTCCACGTATAAGTAGCCATTGAGACAATGTTTATCAAAAGTTTATCCAAAAAGATTTTATATAATACTATAAGTTGAAATTAAGTTTATACAGAACTTACATTTCTTAAACTTAACATAAAGTAAGTTGATAACAATATATATCTTATTACCTCAGCTTTAAGTACATTAAAACATGTTATGAATGCATTAAACCTGTAAACAGTGTATTGAATACCGACTTACGTTTGCACACTGTATTCTGCACATGGGCATAGTGAGCAAAGCCAGTGTCTGCTTAGTTTCTAGTGGGGAATTACGACCTGTTTCTCAAGGAAGAGTAGAGTGTCATTGGATCAAATAAATATGCTAAAAACTAGTGTTTGGAAAGTGAAATTATGGCTTTTGTTTCTATGATAAGAACAGCTTGTCCATTACCCACTGACATTTATATCTATGTGCTTTATGAGCAGGTAAAAATCCTTCGGGGATTTCAGAGTCATAGAATCTTCATTTCATATCCTTTATTTATTTGGCCTCCTGAACTTTATACAGTTATGTTAAGGTTTTTTTTTTCTTTCTGTCTTTATGCCCCAAAGAGTTTATATTATATTGTTAATTTTAAAATACACACAATTTCATGAAATTTAAAATTATATGGTATTAAAATCCATCTTTATATTTCACAATCTACTATTGTTGAAAATGTCTACCTGAGACATACTGAATTTGATCTGCTGATTAATAGGCTTCCTGGTAATTTTATTTTTCCGGAGAAATTGGACCTTACATTTGGATAATTATGTTTCTTTTGTGCTAGTTTGTTATCGTCACTTATTCTTTTCAGGATATGATCAATCAATAACCATGTCTGTTAGGTTCTAGATGAAAACTAACTTTTGGGACGAGACAAAATATATTTTGTCTGTATTGTAGTCCCTTCATTCCTTACAGAGTGGTTGACACTGGTGATTAAAAATGATTTCTGAATGAATGAATACATTATTTATAATAAATACAGTAATTTCAATCATTACTTCTATATCTTTTACATTATAGAAAAGAAACCGTATTATATCGTTAGTATAAATGATGTAATCATTTTGGTGTTTTAATTTTTTAAACATATTCTCTACCTTTCTTGTATTAATGGCATAATCATGAGAAGGTGAATGAAGTGTGAGGTTAATAGAAGAGTGATATTATTGTGTCACTATCTAAGCCTGGTAATATTTTATAATTTTTTTTATATTTATTTTATTTATTTATTTGAGAGAGAGAGACAGAGAGCCCGAGTTCTAATTCTTAACTGTTTTAATTCTTCATTGGGAGCAGAAATGCCTGAACAAAAATACCAGTAATTAGACTGTAAAAATGATTTTATTTTTAAGATTAATTTCTCTCCTTGTTTTACTGCTGTGTAGATTTGTAAATACTATGCACTAAATGTTGGTGGACCCCCCAAATTCACATGTTGAAATCCTGAACCCCAGAGTGGTATTTGGAGTTGGGGCCTTCGGAAGGTACTTGGGTTTAGATGAGGTCATTAGGGGACGACCCCGTGATGGGTAGTATCTTTATGAAAAGAGGAAAAGCAAGAGGGTTGTCCCTCTCTGTCATGTGAGGTCACAGCCAGAAGCTGTGTCCCACAAGCCATGAAGAGGGCCCTCACTGGAACCTCACTTAGCTGGCACCTGATCTCAAACCTCCAGCCTCCAACACTGCAAGTTAAAAATTTCTGTAGTTTACGTTATGGCAGTCCAAGCTGACTGTGGGGTGCTGCTGTAACAAATACCCAAAAATGTGGAAACGGCTTTGGGACTGGGTGATGGGTAGAAGCTGGAAGAGTGTTGAGGTGTTACTAGAAGAAGGTGATCGCTGTGATACTGCTCCAGGCAGTTCTGGTGAGGGTTCAGAAAGAAAAGAGAAGAGCTAAAAAGCCTCCAACTTCTTAAAGAATACATAAATAATGATAAGCAGAATGCTGGTAGATGTGTGGATGGGAATCTGATGGATTTCCAGATAGAAACATAGATAAAACATGTTACTGGACACTGGAGGAAAGCTATTTCTTGTTATGAAGTGGGCAAAGAACTTGGCTGAGTTGTGTTTGTGTTCTAGTATTTTTATGGAGGGTAGAACTTGCAATTAATGAAATTGGTATTTAGCTGAGAACATTTTTTTTTTAAGATTTTATTTATTTATTTGTCCGAGAGAGAGAGCCTGCGTGAGTGAGCACACAAGCAGGGAGAGGGCAGGCAGAGAGAGAAGCAGGCTCCCCGCTGAGCAAGGAGCCCAAGGTGGGGCTCTATCCCAGGACCCCCAGATGAAGGCGGAAGCGTGGCTGAGCCACCCAGCCACTAAGTTCTCTTAGAGAGAATTTCTAAGCAAGGTGTTCAAAGAGTGGCTTGGTGCCTTCTAACTGATTATACTAAAATGTGGAAGAAGAACAACTGAAAAAGGAATTATTTAAAAAAGAGAGAGAGAGAGATATAGGCACCTGGGTCTGCTTCTCTGCCCCTCCCCCTTGCTTGTGCTTTCCCATCGTCCCAAAAATAAATAAATAAAATCTTAAAAAGATAAAAAAGAGACAATACTTGAAGATTTGGAAAATTCTCAGCCCGTTCATGTAGCAGAGAATACTAAGGTTGTGGCCAAACAACCCTTGGCCAGTTTCAGCTGAAGGGAATGGAGATGGCATGAAATGAAGGAAGGCTTTTGGGCTTCGTAGATCCTATAGGACTGGAACATAGTTATTTTGCTGTGAGCATGCATTATTCTTCAAGATTAGGGATGAATGATCCCAAAGGCAAATTCAGAGATCATCAGGGCTGCCTCCTTGGTTTCAGACTGGGGAAGGACGCCGCCATCTCGGTTTGAACAGCTCGGGCAGCAGCTGCCCAGGGCATTATGGGGCACAGGGCTGCCTGGCAGAGCCTGGCTGGAGAGGGACACGACTGCCACTTCATAATCAAAACTTCTGTTTATTTACTGCTGTTAATCATTGCTCAGAACTGTGCCACATCTCTTAACTATTGGCTGAAAGTATTAGTCTTCTTTCTCCTAAAATTTGCAGATAAATGTAATTAATGATAGATGTACAACAAGAAAAAGACAAGAAGATTAATGAACATCGGAGGAAATTTATTTGAGATACTGTTCTTATCTGTTCGGCCATTTGTAACATTGAGTACTCTATTCTTACCCCGTGTCTTTTGGGGCATTTCACAATATTCTTTATAAATATTTAAGACACATTTTAAAAGGCTTTGTGATGAAAAATGCATTTGCATTTTATGCAATGCAATGTGCAAAAGAGGTTGGTCAACATATCTTTATTTAGGCTTCAATATTTTGTCATTTTTGTAGGCTATAAAGTGTTATTGAACTGGACATCTGTTTGGTGGTCATCATGAACCGTGCTTTTAGCAGGAAGAAAGGTAAGTGAGCCCGTTTAAAGGGTCTGGGGGTCAATTCAATATCACTGTGAAAATCGGGCAGAGATGCTAAGGACTCAGTTTTTCCTATTGTCAAACCACATGGTTCAGGAATGACGTTAGACCAGAGCAACACAAATGTGCACACATTGCTAATTAACCTTTGGTTATCACCCTAATGAGAGTGGAGTTGTTTAGTACATTTAATTCAGCATACGTTTATGACAGTATGCTTCCTGGCAATTTCATTCTGTGGTACGAAACTGCAAAAAATAAAGTGATCTGAAACTAGTCCTACTGGCTTGTGTAGTCTTATAATACTCAACTCATGGGCGTGTATGAGGGTCCCATGATTTAAAATCATGTTTGTATGTGTGCATATGCTTCCCTGTTTACTGCGTAATATGTGAGGGTTGATGATAAGTAAGCTGATAGCAACGAGGCCAAAATAACTTTAGGATTTTGACGTAAAATAAATATAAATGTAATATATCATAATTATCAGCATAGGAATGAAAGAAACAGCTAGTTAAATGTTACTTTTTTAAGGGGCAGTAAAACATGGCATTTGACAAATATTTCATGATATACTCATAGGAAAGATTGAAATGTTTGATAGTTTTATGTAGTTAAGGGAAGTTAAAATAATGTATCCTTGTCTTTTTTTTTGCTTTTTTTTTTTTGGAAATATTTTATTTATTTGAGAGAGAGTGAGCTGGGGGAGGTGTAGAGGCAGAGGAAAGAGCAGGCTCCCCGCTGAGCAGGGATCTGGATGTGGGACTCGATCCCAGGACCCCTGGATCATGACCAGAGCTGAAGGGAGATGCTTAACTGCCTGAGCCACCCAGGTGCCCTGTCCTTATCTTTCTGTAAGAAGTTGTTTAGTGATGGACACAGGGCTCTGTCCTATTTAATACACTGTCAGTGAAGTGGGAGAGGATAATTAAACAACGTCACTCAGTTTTATAAGTGATCGTAAACAAGACGAGATAAACTGATATGGTGGAGTTAACAGATACATGGGGGAGAAATGACCAGTTGGCTTATGTTCCGCACCATAAACTTAATAAGGTACTGTAAATTGATGAACGTGGATCCAGAAAGTCTAACACTTTCATTCTTATTTATAAACTGTCATTATTTGGAAGGCGAACCTTCAGTGCCATGTGGGTAAACAAATGGCCGAAGAATTAAGTCTGAACTGTGTGGTTATCAGAGGTTCTAGATAATTTTCTACTGTATGAAATGAATAGTCCAGAACCACAGACTAGACTGTTCTGTCCATGGACTTCAGCCCGGTGTGTTCTCATTTTAAAGGATTGATCGACACATTGTAACACACCCGACGAGCGAGGGGGGGTGTGTGACGTCAAGACATTCAACCTGGAGCAGGAACCTGGCTGAGAACCTGAGAACCTTTGGTGTGGTCTCTCAGTGTTTGGAGGACTGTCATGTGGCCATGGGACTAAGTTTAATAAAGGTCAAATAGGTGTAAATTACAAGGTCATTGATTTAATGCAGGAAAAAATTCCAACAAAGTTGTGCAAACATAATGGAATGACTTGAAGCACAAACTTTTTTTGTTACGGGAGTGAGAAGTCCTCAGCGTTTGGCTGTGGTGCAGAGGAGTGATGTATTCAGTAGGGATTTAGGTAATGTGAGCTTTCTGGCACTTTTTCACCCTGGGAAACTAGGAATTTATTATTTTATTTATTTTTCTGATAAGGGGAGGGCAAAAATAACATTTGTCATTTGTAGTTTGATTCCGATTTAAAACACATTCTGAAAGTAATATAATGTTCTTTTTAAATTTCTTCTACTGGTAGAAAAAGAATCTAGAAATAATCCTATGAGACATAGAAGTATTTTTAATGAAGTAATAAAAATCTTACATCACAACTCATCACTTTAATCATATTTTATTTTATTTTTTTTAAGAGAGTATTTATTTATTTATTTGAGAGAGAGGGAGCAGAGGAGCAGAGGGAGAGGGACAAGCAGACTCCATGCTAAACACAGAGCCCAACACGGGGCTCAGTCTGGTGACCTTGAGATCATGACCTGAGCCAAAATCAAGAGCCAGTTGCATAACTGACTGAACCACCCAGGCGCCCCATTATCTTATTTTTAAAAAACACTTCTAGACTCTTTTTTTTTATTTGCTTACAGTTCCTTTTTCCGAAGGTTTTAAAGTTGAAACTCCCATTTTCTAATTTCTCTTTAGCTAAAGACGATGTTGGAGTTTTTCATTGAGAAATCCCAAGTAACCAGCAACTGTGTATCTGTGTGACTTGATGACAGTGGGAGGACGGCTGCGGGGAAGATCGGAGTGATTGACAGAGGCAGGACATGGAAGCACTTGTTCTTTTCCTGCTTTGCCCCACTGTCTTTAAAAATGTCTTGTGATTTTCCCCCCCAAATCTAATGATTAAATATCCTTATGAAGATTAGAGTATTAGAGGATTGATCAATATTTTACTCTGATTTCACGTTAGAACTTGATACTGGAAGTTCTACCCGCCAGTCAGTTACGGCTCTCGTTTAGTGAGGTCGTGAAAGGGGGAACTCTCAGAGCCCTGCTGCCGGCTTCAACCAGTACCACTATTCGGTTGAATTTTAATTTGAAATAGAAAAGTGGAATTTTATGAGAGACGTCCATATATTTTGACAATTGGGAGCTGTAATTGTACCCCTAGAGAATATGCAATTCAGTCATGTTTCCTGTAGCTGGTATCCGCATGTGTTGTATATTCGACTCTAAACAGAGAAGACGGTCTTCAGTCAGTAGAAGCTTATCTTTTCTTTCAAAAGTGTCCAGTTTACGTGGTCATCACGTGCACTCTTACTAAACCATCCTGGACCTCAGAAGCTGAAGGCAAAGACACTGTTCTCTTAAACTCAAACATATCTCTATATTTTTCTTTTTAGCAACCTTCCATTCGTATTTGGTCTGGTATTCTTTGATTGAATTAGCTAGTGACTTCACTGATCTTCTTTGCAAATTCTCTAATGCTGTACAGAGTCTGAAAAAGACTGAGTGTATTAGAATTGCATTATTTGGACTATTTTGAAGAGATCTGTAAAAATTATTCTAATTTCATAGTCATCAAGTAAATTTTAATGAATGTGTTTATTCTGTAGCTCCTTTTCTTTTTTTGGATTACTTTTTAATTTTTTAATATAAATTCAATTAATTAACATATAGCCTATTATCAGTTTCAGAGGGAAAGTTCAGTGGTTCATCAGTCTTATAGAATACCCAGTGTATGGCTCCTTTTCTTATGATAGCCTTCTCTTTGAATTCTTAAAATCCTATATTCTATTCATTACATATAAAACTGAATAATTTAGTAAAAAAGCATAAAATTTTGAACATGAGTAAATGTGATTAAATAATTCAACTAATTACACTTTAACTTACCAGTTGGCCTACTGATGAGTAGATACAATCACAGTGCATAGCGCTTAAGATTCAATATTTAAATATTATTTTTCTTTTTATAACCCATTCATTATGCATCTATTCACCCAACATTTAGGTTTAAATTTGATATATTCAGAGAAGGTACTTCCTGTATGCTAAGCTCTGGTGATACAATAATAATGAAATTTCTGCATTATTCTTTTTTTTTTTTTTTAAAGATTTTATTTATTTATTTGACAGACAGAGATCACAAGTAAGTAGAGAGGCAGGCAGAGAGAGAGGAGGAAGCAGGCTCCCTGCTGAGCAGAGAGCCCGATGCGGGGCTCGATCCCAGGACCCTGAGATCATGACCTGAGCCAAAGGCAGAGGCTTAACCCACTGAGCCCCTCTAGGCACCCAGTCTGCATCATTCTTGATGAGCTCTTAATCTAAATGCACTTGAACACTTGGATTTGTTACAGTCAGGGTGGTTTGACACTTGCCAAATATTTTGACATGTTGGCATTTCCCTTTACATGGCTGTTTACTCTTTAGTGATTACAGTTCAATTTCAAGGAAGGGGACACGTTCCAGATGTCTGTGTTCCTGTTTCTGTACCATGTCCGTATATCTGATGGCTTTTGTGGGCATAGGTTGTGACCGGATACCATCGTCTATACTCGCTCTTCAAGGCCAGGCACATCTATAGGAGTTAATATAAAGAGTTTTATTCTGTCAGTTTTTTCTTTTGCCAGAGTATACATCAGGAAGACAGTAAGGATGTGTTTTAGAGATCTTTCGGGTTTTATAAGTGTACGGCCTGTGCTGGAGGTATGTCCGCCAGACCATCAGTGCGTGATCATGTGGACACCGAGTTCTTGTCATTGTAGCGATTACAGCTTACCCACTGGTCATTTCATATTAGTACCAGCTGGATAGAACTGCCCGCTTTCTAGGTCACCTTAATGCAAGACTGTAACTGGTTGCGTCATCAGCTTTCCAGTGTAGTGGCTGCAGGAGAAAGCAGTCATCCCTCTTCCTCAGGGTTGGAGTGAACGTCGTACTCAGACTTAAACTTTATGTCCTTCTGAACAGTGCTGTGTATCTTGGAAAAGGAGACATGAGAAGAATTGAGTTAAGGGGTTAAAAACAGAAATTGGATTTTTTTTTCTTTTTTAGGTTTCCTAAAGGTAGGTCTTTGTTCTTATTGTTTTGATATTTTTATTGTTCTGGTGTATAGCATTGTGATTTATTTCTTTTAATATACAAGGGCAAGACTGTATCTTAAATCTAAGTACAAATTTTTCTGAACTAATCATATCACTATTCAGGAGCAGTCATAAAGGAAAAAACTGTAATTAAATTTAAAATCCTTACAGGAAGTAAAAAATTCACACATTAATGGCGACGGCAATATGTCAATATTGCTTTTTGAAGCTCAGAATGTGTTGCCTCTCAGAGTACAGCACCCAAGTACAATCATCACATATTCCCTCGAGTAGTCAGAAAGAGCCCTAAAATTCACCATAAGCTTGGGATGTTTATCATTCCCTCATGTTCTGTTTTAGAAATTCATATGAATATTGGATTGTACCCCATAAATGTGTTTAAAATAAATATACTGTGTTATTTTCAAGTGGTATAAAATAATTGACCTTCCAGACATAGGCTTTTTTCTTTTTGTCTTCCTATTCCCCCATTCTGAGAACATTTTAATGATATCAAACTGGTTTCTGTTAACATTTTCAAATGTTCTGAATTGAATGTTGAAAATACTTTGTTCGTAATCCATTTCTGTTCAGTACTTACTAACTACTTTTCATGGTAAAATATGTCTTTGATTGTATTCTGTTCATAGTATTGATTCTAAATTTTTAAATTCCAAGAGGAATAAAATATTCACAAAACTTTGCTAAAGGAGACAGTAGTTTTTGAAGATTTCAAAAGTTTACTACAGACAAATGCAATTTCTAAAAAATGGTATAATTTTATTTAATGTTTTTTGTTTTATCCCCACTTACTCAGTCCACAAAATGTTTTGGAAGATGTGTAGACTATATAAATAAAATTCAAACTTGAGTGAAAAATATTTTTTTCTATTTCTACCAATAATATACAGTTCAAATTATTTTCATTATCTTCTATCTTTTTAGTCACATTTATTTTTAATATTCTCTTACACTAATCTAAGAAAATTATAAAGATTTAAGATTGATTAGAGAATTTAAAAAACCCTATAAACCATGAGAGTATAAGCAGAAAGAAGACGTCACATAATCATGTAATCTGTACAGTTGTCTTCCACTGAGTTGTTATTTTTTAATATTCTTTAGAAACTTAGTATCACTTCATTATTTGAATACTTTTTAAAGGAAAAGCTAGGGACTTTTATATCAAGGAAAGAATCTTCTAAGCACTTTACAGCTACACTGTTCTCCTATCTGACCAGTTAGTCTTTCTCAGTTTAGTATGAGAATCACGACTTAGAAATGCTCCCACCCCTGTCAGACTCCTTATGCTAATGAATGAATATGACCCCTCGGAACATGTAATTTAATTTAACCTTGTGTATTCTTCATTGCAGACAAAACATGGATGCATACTCCCGAAGCTTTATCAAAACATTACATTCCCTATAATGCAAAGGTAAAATGGCTTATAAGATATTTATTTAATTTATTTTGTTATGTTATTTTTATTAAATTCATGATTGATCTAAGAAAGATTGTTTATGCGTTGGCATTTCCCAGTAGATGGTTCCTAAAAAAAACTTTGCATAAGAAATTTTGTAATATATAGTATGGGGAGTGATTTTTTCCACCAAATAAGTAATTCTTTTTTTTTTTCCCCTGTCACTCCAAATAAGCAATTATTTTATTTAATTATAAAGAGTATTCTTTATAAGTTCGGTCTGTCATGCATGTATTCTCTTTAAATAATGTAGCTATCTTTAAAATTATTTGCAATATCATGGCCTGTAGGAAATAAAACCACCAACAAATTAGCTTCCTTTGAAAGCATTTTAATGTTGCATTGCATAGACGAATGTAAAAACTAACCTGATCAGGAGAGAAATGAGCTACAATTTTGATGAATGCAACTTTCATTCAAAAAAAGAGACAAAACTTAATTAGGAAAACAGAAAAAAGCACATTTTTGACTCTTGTGTTTAGTTTTCTTCATTTTAGTAAATAGAAGCAAGCAATCCATGCTCCATATCTTCAAAGAAAAGGTCTTTAAAGAAAGGTATTACTGTGTAATTAGGGAGCACGAAATCTGAAATAGATTAGAATACACTTGGAAGACACAGGAGAGAAAGTTGTGTTGGGGACCGTGCAGGCGGGCCAGACTTAAGTAACTGACCTTTAGACACAGCATGGGAAAAAGAGAAAATGATAAAAATTATTTTTATAAAGAAAACTTAAGAGTTTATGAATTAGCAAACTCTGTACTGGGTATACTGGATATAATGAGATGAGGTATAAGGAATGATTTTAGAAAAAACTTAAAAAAACATGTATTGAACAGAAAGTCAATGCTGTTTAATAGAGAACCTCTTTCAGTGCTTGTCTGAGTCTGAATCAGTAGGAAGAAGCGTTTGTAAGATCATCTGGAGATCCGTCCGGACCTGTTGCTCAGCAGTGCGATTGGTAGCGTATGGCACCTCCATTTTGTCTTGCTGACTTTGTAGCGAAGAAATACTCTAAATATTTTTGGTGTAAAGCTAACATGCTTGACGAAATAAGTCAATCGGAGAAAGACAACTACCATATGATCTCCCTGATATGAGGAAGTTGAGAGGCACGGTGGGGGGTTTGGCGGGGTAGGAAAAGAATTAATGAAACAAGATGGGATTGGGAGGGAGACAAACCATCAGAGACTCTTAATCTCACAAAACAAACTGAGGGTTGCCTGGGGGTGGTGGCGGTTATGGACATTGGGGAGGGTATGTGCTGTGGTGAGTGCTGTGAAGTGTGTAAACCTGGCGATTCACAGACCTGTATCCCTGGGGCTAATAATACATTATATGTTAATAAAAAAATAAAACATTTTTTAAAAAAAGCTAATGTGCTTGAAATCACTGCAGTGCTTAGGCTTTCCCTCTAATGTGACATGAAGTTTGATTGCCATGACTTAGCGTGAAAAGTTTAGTCAGCTGCGTGAGAAAAATTAAGTTACTATCCTCTCTCTCTTCCGCAGATACTCTCCATGTTAGCTGTTGAGAAATTGTATGAAAACTTTTTAGAAAAAATTTAATTTTGAAAACCACTATTATTTTAAAGTGCATGCTAAGTTTTTGATATTATCTATCATACCAGAATCGTGTCTTTTAACTGAAACCACCGCATATTACTTATTTTTAGATATGACTGAAATGTCTCATTTTGAAAAACTGGATTGAAAGATTCTGATTGAATCCTTCTGATGTAAAGGATTGAAAGATTCTGATGAGAACTGTCCCTGACTTTTGGGTTAGGGTTAACAGTAGAGATCGTCGTCCGTGTTACTCCCAGCTGCAGAGCTGCTCTAAGTTATTCTGCACGAAGTAGAGGGTACGCAAACGCCTTCGCAGACTGGCGTCGGTAAATTACGGAGGAGCAAGTTGATTTTGTCCGTTCTGATACGGCCTCCTGAGCGATAAATATGTCAGGTACACCAAGTAGTGTTGCAACTGTTTGAAGAACTTTTTTTTTTTTTTTTCTGAATTCTTTTTTTTGTAGAACAATTTGAACTCATCATTAGTAGTTATTTTTGAAAATTTTCTAGATCTCTTTAGCGTACATGCTGCTTGAAAACCAAACCAGTGTCCACAGGATGTACCTTAGCACAACAACAGCCACACAGAATAAAGACTCTTGGGGTGCCTGACTGGCTCAGCCTGTACATTAGGTGACTGTTGATCCTCAGGGACATGAGTTCAAGCCCCATGTTGGATGTGAAATCTACCTAAAAAATCCACAACAAAAAATAGTAGTAAAAAAAAGATAAAGAAAGATAAAGACAAGAGGTTAATAAATATATGAAAAAGAACCTCCACTTATAATCAAATAAATACTTAAAAATGAACTCTGTATATTTGATGAATTAATGCATAATAACATTTCCAAAGTAATTACAAAGTAGTTACATTTCAGTGGGTTCTAATATATACCAGGAAATGATCTCACTTATTATTTGCCGTGACTCAATATGGTGATTATTGATCTTTACATAAGAGAAAACTTTATGTTTTACGTAGGAGAAATAAAGGCTGAAAGGTTAAGTAACCTGCCTGTCGTCACAGACCCTGTAAGATGGAGCCAGAGTCGGAAACTGAGGTCTGTGTGGCTTCAGGGATTGGCTGTTGTTCATGTGAGAGTAACACTCGATTTGCCATTCATCCGCTGCGTTGCTGACAGCGTGAGGTGCTGTTCCGGAAACTTCACTGAATATCAGTGAAGCTCTAGAGCTGTATGACACATGTCTTACATGCTCATGGACCTTCCGTCCTAAGGAAATACCACACAGACATGAGCAGCGTTGAAGTCAGATCATGTTCTGTGTCATTCCGATGTCATTGAACAGAACGCTAAGGAGATTCGGAGAACGGTGAGACTCTCGTTTCGTGAAAGAGGGAGTGAGCTCGAATTTCCCAGGTCGAAACAGGGTCTCCGAGAAGTGACCATTTCATGCAGAGATATCTGAAGGACGATGAGTAGAGTCCACAAGGTCTGAGCCACAAACAGTATGGTGAGAGTTGGGCTGGGGCATCGAGTGCTGACGATGGTGAAGTCAGCGTTGCGTCTGAGAAACAGGTGTGAAGATGTGTACACACTCACACACACATTTATCTCAATGAATGGGTTACACAATTTTGGCACTGGCTAGGCAGGTCTGAAAAGCATATGGCAGGACTTCCGGAAGGGCAGGTTGGATGTTCTTGGGCAGGAGCTGACCACAGGTAAAATTTCTTCTTTAGGGACAAAGCAGTTCCATTCTCAAGGCCTTGAAATTGATATCAAACCCTCCCGTACTATTTTTTACATAATGCCAACTGGTTATAGATGTTGATCACATCTATAAAGTAACTTCGTGGCAACACTTGGGTTAGAATTTGACTGCATAGCCGCAGAGTATAAGCTGTCCACGGTGCCACGCAGCACTGACCATCGCAGGTACTAAGGATGGGCAGCGCTAAAGAGACAAGCTGGGAAGGCTTTGCATGGCCATAGAAGTAGTTGGAGTAGGGAACTAATTAAGGATTTTAGGAAGATAAATCTTCAGTGATCTGAAAGTTGATTCGGGTCAGGACAGAAGGATGGCAATCAGCTTCTTAGGGAGTTAACTTAGGTCCAAGTGTGTGGTCCTCTGTTTCTAGAGGGTGACAGGTAAACACGCAGTGGAAAATAAAGATGTGCTAAAATACTGCAAGGGAAGAATTGGTGCAATAGAGGAATAGTTTATATGCAGAAGAAAAATGGCTATTTTCATCCTGGCTAAAAGAGGGAAAGATCATACTATTATCAAGATTTCCATCACTTCATTCACTTTTGGGATCCACTGGTTACAAATTAACCTGATAAATTTACCAGAAATGTTCAAGAACTATAATTCTCCCTGGGGAAGCATGTAATAATGTGTACATTTAGGTCTTTTCACTTTTAAAATAATAGTTGTCTGCTCATGTTATTTCTTTAAGAACATACTGTAGTTCCACATTCTTTCATTTGCTGTAAAATTCAATTTCAGAAATTCACATTTAATATTCAGAGTATGCTCATTTCAGTTCTTATATGGATATAAAATAATGGTTTCTTTCAAAAGCATTTTTTTTTGTACAGGGTTCATTTCTTTTCTTCTTTTTTTTTTTTAATGAGCAGTGACATCTATAATACTAGTTCATTGGAAAATCTGCATGTTTTCCTGTACTCTATAGTGATGTTTTCAAACTGCAGGTTATGCTTCATGAGAAAAATTGGGTCACGGGAGGCATGTATTTAAAGATGAAATGGAATAGAAGAGAAAAAGAAAAGACGTTTATAGAATGCATATGGTAAACATCAAATTGTTCCATAAAATTGTGGTTCATAGTCATTGAATATGAAAGCCACCACATTTAAACAAAGACTTCACCAGATTTAACTAATTTAAGTCATGAAATAATAGTAGGGGGAGCTGCTTAAAAGAGCCATTAAATTCTTAGTAGAAGAGATGATCCGCATGGACGTTCAGGCCCACGTCATTGAATCCAGCGTCTTAAAGTTGTTTCTCGAATGTGCACGTGAGCGCGGTAGGAACGACAGAGAAACAAAGTGAAGTGTAGGTTCACTCGTGCTCTCGTTCACACGTGAGCTACCCATCGGAATGCAGCCCTAACATATGCAAAGTCCTGATCTAGAAACTCGGGAATTGATCAGTAAACCAAATAGATAAAATCCTGCCTGCCTGGGCTTTGCATATAATAAACAAAATAATACTACTTTTTCAGAAATACCTGATAAGAAAACTGGTTTTATTTGTTAATACATGGATTATTATATTGATTTGTATTATTTGTTACTGATCTATAGCATTACTATTTATATATTATATGGTAAATATGCATGTTAGTATATATAATATTGACACAATATCTATTAATACAGTATTCCAGGCTGCACTAATTT